GATTGGGCGTGCTAGAGGCAGGAGAAGAGAAAGAGAAGAGGGAGACCTCAAAAAGTGGACTCGTGAATGTGAATGTCCACAGAATAAGAAAAATCTCTGTTACAGTACACTCGCACAGACACACACAATGTCTGCAGTGATTTACAGCAGCAAGATCCCACAACAAAACAGCTCCAGTAACAAATTGCAGCATAAAAAGGAGAAGCTGGCGTATAGCTGGGTTGCAAAGCGGTTTGCATATGTGACGGCACCTGCGGACACCAGGTACGGGACTTTCTAGTTGACCATCGGCTGGCATCCGTATGAGCTGAAACAATGCTGTCTGATCCCAAACTTAATGAAAACTTATTGCTTCCCTATTTTTTTTTTTTTGCTGGGAGTTTGCAACCCTATTAGTTAGGTTGCTTAATATTTCTGCTAAGTACTCTTTAAAATACCAGAATATGGAGGATTGAGTAGGTTTAAGTTTATTAGATTGATCAGTTTTGCTGAACTATGAAATATTTTGGGTGCAGTGTATTTTTTGCATACAGGTATAACAGAATAGCTTTAGTGTTTGTTTGTTTTTTGCTTGAACTTGAGTATGAACTTATAAAAAATGCAGCAAGATATTAAAAAAAACAGTTTATTGATTAAAAAACACTATATCGGATTTATATCGGTATCGGCCGATATCCAAATTTATGATATCGGTATCGGACATAAAAAAGTGGTATCGTGCCATCTCTAGTAATTAATAACACCAACAGAGTCGTATCAAGTGCATCAGTGAGCCGCTCAAGCAAGTCTGCATGGAAAATATCAAAGCCTTAGAAGTGGGGCACTTAAATGGGACGCAGCAATTACTAAGGAGGTGCCACCAATGGCTACACCTCCTTAGGAAACTCAACTCCTTTGGAGTCAGCACACCCATCATGATGACTTTTTACTATGCCTTCCTGGAAAGCATCATGACCTTCTCCATCACCTGCTGGTTCCACTCCCTCAGCCTTCAGAACAAGAACAGACTGCAGCACACTGCATCAGTGTGCTCTAAAATCATTGGGCTGGCTGTCAGAACTCTGGCACAGGTTTTCAGCCAACAGGCCCTTAGAGAGGCAGCTAAAATCATCAACGACCCCTCTCACATTCTTCACCCCGCATTTCAATGCCTCCCCTCTGGGCGATGCCTCCGCTGCATTTCCTGCAGGACTGAGAGGAGGAGCGCCACCTTTGTCCCCAAAGCCACTCTGCTTTTTAACACCAGCCGATAACACCATTTCCCACACCAGAAACATAAACTACACTCTTTTTATACTACCGACACTTTATTCACTTTTAGTCACTCACAGTTATTTATTCACCTTTCAGTCACTTTAATTTTAAAACTGTATATACTGTATATTCTGTGCATTTATTATCTCACTCTTATTGCCTGTTCTTACTGTCCTTATCTTCAACGTTATGCTGCTCTGTTGTATGTTAATTGCCCCTTGGGGATAAATAAAGTCTAAAAAAAAATGGTTTACCGTTTGAAAGTTGGGGGTGTTGGATAAAGTCAGATGGCATTAATCACTACAAAGTCGCTACTACACTGCTTCCTCACTGGCTTCATCTTGTGCTTTGGGTTTGCTAAAAACAACCGATAAAATCTGTGAGCAATGTGAAAGAAGTAGCTAGTAGGCAGAAAAGCCCAGATGACTCTCCCAGTGCATTTTGATGTCTTTCAGCTCACTGTTTTGGATCACTCCCTGTTAGCAGTAGCAGGAGGAAGGTGGCTGTTTTCAGCGAAAAGAGAGTCTGAGACAAAATCATTCTATCAATCTGTTCAGCAATCAACAGCAGGCAAGGCAACTACAGTAAGTGACGACCACAAGAAGGATTTAAAAAAACAAAACATAACCAGGAGGAGTCTGGACAATGAAGATCATTTTAATTGAATCTGGTTAAACTGGCTGCTGGTTGGTCAAAGCAAACTGATCAAGGCGTTCTGTGTAAGCTGAAGTTACAGTTACAGTTTTAGAAATGTTTCCCATGCTTCGAACTCTTGTCAGACAACACTGTAATTTTACTGACAAGAGCACAAAAGCTGGGCAGAGACAAACATGTGTGTCTAGACATTATCTCTCCTCTAGCTTAAATCCCTGCCAACCATATGCATCTTTCATTCAAACAACAAAAGGTCTGCAGCAGGCACCTGCTTGAATGTCAGCCCACAAAAACCAGACGTCTCCTGCAGGGAAAACAGGAGAGAAATCCGCTTAATAATCTACATTTCCAGAGTGGGAATTGCTGGAGGGCACAAACAGCCTTGAGCCTACCAGGAGGGAAAATAGAATTACTCTGAACGATACAAAGCTCCAAAAATATGAACGACTCCACTGTCTGCCCAACTTGTGTGTTGGAAAAAGAAACTGCTCGGTTCTTTCCACGTCACCCATTTCCCCTGTAGAAAACAGAGCTCACTGTGGTTTCTGAGGGACGGCATAAACTCCAACAGCAAACTCTTAAACACATGGACTAAGAAAAGGGCCTGTATTTAAATCCCCCCAATTATATTTAATTGAGGAAAAACACAGCCAATTCCAGCCGCACCGGCTGAGCCTGTGAGCTGAGCCTGTGAGCTGAGCTTGCATTGTGACGGGCCCGTTTTCACTGGGGACGGAGCAGTGGCAATGGAAACGTAAAGCTGGAGACTGAGGCAGGGATAGGGAGGAAACCGTGACAGAGGGAAAATGAATGAGAGTATAGATAATGAATGAAAGAGAGAAAAAAATTAGATCGAGTGAGGGAGGGAGGGTTGGATAATTACGGCTAGGAGGGAGGGGAATAACTTCCTCCGTACTGCCCTCCTTGTCTTGTGGTGCAGGGTTATTTTTAGCTACGAAGGAGAGCAACAAGGTACTGTAAAGGCAATCATTTCTGCTGCAGCACAGCCATCGCTCACTGCAACATCTCTGTCACGGCAGACAACACACACACAAATGCATGTGTGTGGTTTTTAAAGGCCAGACTAAAGCTGTCAATAGCCAAAATATAGCCAACATTCCCCCTTAAAGGGCCACAGTCTCAAACATATCGACAACACAACACCTAGCTAACTATCTACATCTGCCCAAATCAGATTTGTCAGCAATTTTCCTCCCTTAATTTGCCACCTAAATAGCAACTCCTTTAATTGTTTTGGGCTAACGTGTATACTGCATTTCGCAAAGGTCAAGTTTCTCACTTGAAAGTGCTTCTCATTTTTCACACCGAAAACAAAAGCCCACTCTCAGATGCCAAACGTGTCAATACCAGCCGAAAGTGTGTCAGGTCAAGCCAATTGTGTTAGGGATTAGCTGAACGCACATACACAGAGTGTTTTCCCCACATCAATGACATTTACCGGGTCAAGGAGAAGAAATCCTATCCTAGCATCTGAATCAATAGCTCCTCTTAAAGGAATTAAAAACATACAGTATTTCATTACCCGATGCATCTAATAGCGTTTTCTGAAATCGATGTTTATATGCTTTTTGCTGTCCTATAGATCATCCCTCCACTTTCCATCTGTCTCCGCAGTACTACGTTGTGAGGTTAAAGTAATCAAATCTGAAATTTGATATTCGTGACCATTGGTGATCCTTTACTCATTAACATATGTTACGTTTAATAAGTGGTGAGAAAACCCCCACACCTATCAGTGCACTCAAAACACGTTTTCTTGGGATCTAACTAGGACTAATTACAGCTTTAAACGCCTTGTCTAGATCTTCACTGCCATACAGGGACTTATGCAATTCAGTGCTAATTAGGCAAGTATGTTAGAAACAAACTTATTGCAAATGTTGAGATGATTTATAGATATGAATAATGCTAAATAGTAACGTGTGTCAGCAGTTAAAGATCTGCTTCTTAATAAAGCATGACTCACAGCCCTGCAGTACCATGCAGAGAGAGACAAAGGGATTATGGCAGATTCCTAGAACAAAACAGTTATTTTACTTTAACAAAGAGGTTGCTGCTCTACCACGTCTTTTTAAATTCGTTTTTTTTAATCAGGAAGTGAAGTCTGGAGTCTGGAAAATTGGAGGTCCCAAAGAAAACCCACGCAAGCACATAGAGAACATGCAAACTTCAAACAGGGCCAAACCAATCGGGCTGTTGCTGTGGAACGATTTTAACCACAGAGCCACTGTGCGCTTTGACCTGTTAGTTTGTTTTACTGTGTGAGTCTACAGTTAGTTTGGATCCAAGTTACGCTGAAACACCAAACACATTGCAACTTAAGGAAACACCAGGAAATAGAAAAATGCAGAAAAATCCAAAAGTACACAAAACGCAACAGAAGTTGGATAAAAGACAACGGAAGAAGTCAAAAAAAGAAAAGCAAACATCTTTTGTTTTTTGTGGGTTTTTCGTTTTTCTGTCATGTTGTATTCAACTTCTGTAATGTTTTGTCTGCGTTTGACCTCTCAGGGCCACCGTACCCAACTCACACAATAATACTAAATAAACTAACCACTGGCAGTGATAAGCCAGTAACTCCTTTGTCCATTAATGCAAAATTACTGTTGTTGTTCACAGAAATCTGGTAGCTTTACACAGAAAAATGTTAAATGTAGCAAACTACAAAAATACATATCATTAGGTGGCTAAAATGCTTAGCATCTCTCCCAGTACTCCTACTGCTCCTCCATACTGGGGCATGCTGACAAGATGTATTATAGGTAATACACTGACTGTGGAGAAATAGTTCATATAAATCAAACAAATAAAAAATTCAAATTGACCTTTTAATACAAAAAATTGGATGAAATACTAAATAAGATTAGAGGATTATTGGTTGTCTACAAAGCTAGGTTAACTGTTTCATACCTGCTTTCTTAAAGCCAAGAGAAACACCTGCCTGATGTGTCATCGTATCCATCACAAGAGACTTGAATAGTATCAATCTCCTCTAACTTCAACCACAACAGGAAATGAGTGCAATCCTAAAATTACAAATTATTAATTTAAGTTGGAAATACGTATCTTACCTGTGATGAGTTCTCGTACTTCCATGTCGTTGGTCTTCCTCAGAAGGCGGATAAGGGCCGGGATGCCATCACAGTTCTTGATGGCCACCTTGTTGTCATTGTCCTTGCCATAGGAGATGTTGCGCAGGGCACCACAAGCCTTACGATGGACTTCAGACTTGGGGTGATCCAGAAGACCCACCAGAACTGGAATTCCCTTCAGCTGACGCACATCTTTCTTAATCTTGTCATTTTCGTAGCACAAGTGCTGCAGGTAGGCAGCGGCGTTGGACTTGACTGGGTCGATCGGGTGGCCTAGCATGGCAATGACCTCAGGGAGATCTGGGTCCCGCCAGCGTGGGTCCTTGCGGATGCTGTCGATGGAAGGTGAGCGACGACCACCCATGCGGTCCAGACTGGCCATGCTACCCCTCTCTGGCTGAGCCAGTGGTGCTGAATACATCCCATGGATGTAAGGGTGGCGCTCATCGATCAGCTCAGCCTCAATGGGGTCATCTGGGTACCCTCTGGATGAGGAGAGAAGAGAGGACAGTTAGGACGAGGAAGATGGACGAGGTAAATGGGGGGTGACTCAGACAGATTTGTCCAAGAGAAGAATTAGGCAGCCGGGGGGAAACACTCTGAGAGAAGCTAACTGAGGTGAAAGCTGCTGACTAATGAGGTGAAAAGAAGTGAGAGACAGAGCAGGACAAGGACACGGTACTGGACAGAAAGAGAAGGATCTGTGGTTCAGATCAGATTTTACCAGATTTGCCAGAAGCACTGTGATGGTAGTTCTTTGCAATAAAATACATATAGTATGCAGCATTCTTATTATTCCTCCCTGCCAGGTGGCAGCAACAAAAAAGTCAGACTTCAAGAAACATAAAGTCTTAGAAGGAGTGACTGAGAGACAGGAAAAGACTGGTGAAAGAAAAGACGGGCACTTCACAAAGAAACAGACAAGGCAATACCAAAGAAAATCCTTTGAAGGATAGCCTTGTGAAGTTTTTCCTTTTCTTTTTTTTTCTAGAAGCCACCACATATGGCAGAGAAAGGATTTGATGTCTTTTCCCCCAGGGAACAGCGAGAGCTCGGCTGTCCCCTCAGGGAGGACTATGAGCTCCTATGATACCTCCAGGGCTCCCTTTGCTCACAGTGCCAACTCTAGCATACAGTTGCTGAAATGTTAATGACCATCACTCTGGGACGCTTCTACCAGCATTACCCTTATTAGCGCTACTGACATTACAGCTAAGGACCTAAACAGTCTTCAGCTTTGCTAATTTTTCTGCAATGGAACTGAGTGGCAGAGAAAGAAGGGAGCTCATGGGGTCCGCTGAGGGGGGAGGTTCCTTTAATGATCCCCTATTTCCAAAGCCTCTCAGAGCCTGCTCTTTACAACTCTTTACTCCATAGACAGGCTCATCAAATTCCTGCTGGAACATGGATGAAAAAATAGGCGCTCAATTCCAGTGACAGATCATCGTTGCTAGAGTTCAGGTGACTTATTGTTTTTCTTTAATCATAGGAAAGGTTTTCTTTTTTTGTTGGGCTCAACTGCAGCAGCTCAGGTAAGCCAAATTTAACACTGGCAGAAAAGTTCAAAGGAACATTTTTGAAGCTTGTTTCACTGACATGTCTCCTTTGTCTATAAGGAGAATGTTTAGTAGGTAAAAATCTTAATATGGGAAGAGGAATATCATTACATGAGTGCACTTACGCACAGCCATTATCATACCTCGCCTACTCCACAGCTTGAGACTGCGTACCCTCATTACATAATACAGCTGCTCTCCGCTTGTGGTACTTGATATATGGTGGTTAGTGGTGTGACAAAATGGTGGTCAGTGGTAAGCTGACTGAGCTCTAGTTGTAATGTGTTTTTTATTAATTATGCTTCCCACGCATCGTCACTTTCTTGTTTTTATGAACAAATTTGATGAATGTTTAGTGCTTACTTCAAATGAAAATCCTCTACTTCTTCACCTTCTCTATGTTGCGATGCAGTCTAGGTAGTAATGTCAAATGGTTGTAGTGATGTTGGCCCCGGTTTGAACACATTTTCTGTTCCCCTTGAAATTTAAGCCCAAGCCGTTTTCCAAAGAATCAGCCGCCGTAGTGAGTAGTTTACTACCTGGCAGGAGAAATCTCTGACATTTCAAAAAGCGATTTTCAATTGCTATCTGAGATCGCTTGTGAAAGAAAAATACAGACATGACATTTGCTCTTAGTCATTGCTTATAATGAGCTGACTAAATGTATCGGATGCAACAGGAGAAAAGTGACAACACAAAGCTGCGGGTCTTTTGGAAGTTCCCCACAAGCATCTTTCCCGTTCACGTCTCCTCTTATTAAGACGAAAGCTGTGAAGGTGTACGTCAGTTTTTTTGTTTCATTTCCACTCTATGTTACAACCAGATTTTGGATGGTTTGCATAGTGTGGGCTGTTTGAAACAAGCACCTTTTGTAATGATAGCTGTGGAGTGCAACAAATTTAATCAGGTTTTCACAGATCTCAAGTGCATGAAGTGTGCAAAGGTACTGGAGACCTTCCTTGGGCAAAATATGTATAGAACAGGGTGTTTAAAGCATATTAAGGCCGACAAGTTGATATGGTCCTGCATACTCTTTACAGCAGCAGACAATTTTCCATATCTGTGTGCTATCAAAAGCCCTCCACAAAATAACGAGAGCTGGAGGGCAAATAGCACAACGTTAAGTGCTTGCACACCTAAATCAGTCATCTCTCTGTTTCTAAGTTCAGCACGGTGGAACAAAAAGGACATTTTGTTATTACTGCTTTTAAAGTCATCACATAAAATATATTTTGTTAATTTGTGCTAAACTTTGAGCACTCAGTTTATCTCAATGTTTTTTCCGTTCTTTGCCAGATAAGAGACTTGGATGCTTAGGGGCCGTTGTATAATCGATAGAAGCTGGTTAAAAGTTGGCTGCAGGACACGTGCCCTCCCTCGTTTGTTGCGTTGTTTTTCCCATAACTGACATTTTGGCTTTTATGGTACAACTTGGTGCGTCTTACTGCCAGAAAAATCGATACGAGATGTACTAAAAGAAAAACTCCTGCTTAACTATTGTAAAAAGATTCTAAATCTCCTATTCAGGTGGATGGAAGGAGGATTAATAGAGATGGAGTAAGACAACAAGGCTGTCAAGAACAGCCCTGCGGCTAAATGCTGCAAGTTAACTAAATTGAAAGAGCTGTGGTGCTGAACGGCTGTAGCTTGAAGGGATATGTCAAGTCACAACAAACCTGAACTGCAAAGGGCATTTGGTGTATTCTCCGTGTTTATGATTCTTTTAAAAGTTTATTTTTCCTCTCTAATCTTTATGGAACATTTTGGGGAGCCACAAATCTCAATAGCAGCCTGTAACCACAGTATGGAAGGAGGGGCCAATCACGAGCGCAGAAGCCTGATTACAGCACATCATTTGGACAACAACTGCTGCTCTGAGGTTTGGCAAAAAAACACTGAGCTTCTTGACACACTACAAGGAAAAGGAGGGAAGTTTTAAGCGCATGTGCACGTGCTGCTGGTTTACTAATTGCTTCCATGTGTACGCCACGATCCAAACACATACAACAACATTCAGAGATCTCTTTCGCTATAGAGTATTTGACTTGACAAGGCAAAGAAAGGCAGAAATTACCCCGCTCTAAAAGAAGGGAAGTTCACAATCTCAGCATCAACAACACTGCACATACCCGCCACACACAGACACACGCAGACACATTATCTGCCGTGCCGTGTTTCTCATGCACTTTCTTTAACGTGCACTTCAATACACAGATAAGATGTACAGTTGTGCAGATGGTGCCTCATTTAGATCTGGGCCAACATGGCAGGGCCGGTGGTGAAGCAGACATCTTGAGGCTGAGTGATGGGAATGTCAGGATTTGCATTTAAATTGGCGCCATTGTGCGTGCAGGGTAGGGTGTATTCATAGGATGCTCTGAGCATGATTACAGAAGATCACTCTCCTCATGTTAATCGAGCTGGTAAATGTCCAGCCTATTTGTGTCGTGTGCGACTGCGCGGGCGCACTTGTTTTGTTTTATGACACAAAGAACAAAGAAGAAAAGATAAGCAGATACAGTAGATATGAGATGTGTGTGTGGCTGCAGAGTTTGGTATTCATCGATTTGTTTGAACTCTGTCACATCCTCACTATGCTCCCATTGCTTCATCGTTTGTCAATTACTTGCATCACATTTCAGTCACGACCATGCATGAGCCTCGTCTTCTGCAGGCCCATAAAAAGAGGCGACTATGAAGGATTACAGGCTTAGAAGATGTTTGGATTTCATATGTACAAATACCATCCTGGCATTTATGAGGTTTTCAGTGACTGTCCCTGTTGACAATTTGCTCATTTTGAATTAATATTGTTTTATCGTGCATAGAAGTCATTGTGGAAATGGGAAGTGAAAGGAACAGAGCTGGAGTCTTTCCATCCAGTCACTTTTTAATTACTCTGGTTTTCTGATAGCATTTTCTTTTACATAACTACTTGAGTTGTTTATTTATTTTTTTTAATAAAGTGACATTGTTTCATTGACAGAGTGGAAGTATAACTACCCTGCTTCCACAGATGGGAATAATACAGAATGCAGCAACTTCAAAAAAGTAGTAAAAAAGTGGACAAAAACAAATCAAAACTGGAAACTGACCAACTGTATTAAAAAAAAAAAATGCTCATTTTGAATTTGAGGCCAGCAACACACGTCAAAGACACTGGAACAAGATAAAGTAAGTAATGCTAAACAGGAATCTCAGATATCTTGTAACTAGTTGTTTAGCAACAGGTCATCAGAATGATTTGCTATACAAACAGCAATTACAAAGCAGGAGCAGATATCACTTCTTGTGCTCAGGAAAACAATGATCAGCAAAGATAGTCCAGGGCAACCTCACAAATACAAAATCCAGAAGCATCACCATCTGCTATGGGCCAAAGATCTTTTGCATGGAGCAGCAGTGCACGAGTGTCCTGTACAAATGCACTCATGCACTTAACAATATGAACCGATTTCATGGCAGGTCTGGCTTGTTTTAGCACTCTGGATGCTAAAATAGCATCCTGCAGTCCAAACCTGTCACCCTGTAAAAACACTAGAGACGTTGATGAGCAGGTGAAATCCTGCATCAGGCAAGAATAAGAAACAATTTGCTTTTAAAACTGCAACAACTGTTCTCCTTATTTTAAGTGTTATTGAGGTGATGCAACACAGCTGTAACTTTTTCAAAAGGAGCACAGAAAAACTGAAAAACTACTCTTGCTCTGATTGGATTTGAATGCCTCTTGACAAGATGGGACAAGGGAGAAAATGCCTGAGTTGGCTAGTGTCACTACAGACAAAAGAGGATAGAAATGACCCCCTCCATCCACCGTCCCACCCCACACTATGCAATTAAGCGGTCACTAAATGTGTCTGCATGTATTTACAGGTCTGTGTGGGGGGAGTGACCCCCAACGCTGACTGTCCAAGGAGAGATGAGCCATT